TGGTGGCCAGGTTGTTAGAGTAATTTATACCTGTTGTGCACCAGATAGGCTTAGATTGGTGAGATGTCTGTCAGAAAGAGAGGCAAGATTAAAGATAGGTAATGCATGGTTAAGGTAGTCTTAAAAGGTTTTTTTTCCTTTTTTCTTTTTTTTGAGAGCATAGTATGGAGTTGAAACAGGCTATTGGCTGCTAACAGACAAATGAGAAGACATAAGTTACACAGAACATTAAGTAGCGATAATTTTCATGTATTTTCACACTCTTCAAGTAGCATGTAATGGCTCAGGATTACGACAAGGCTAGCAACCATATTCGGCAATGGCCCTTTCACAGCTGGTGGACGTGGTGAACGAAACATAGCCAAACCCCAGGTTGGTCGCCACTTCATTATCCCCCTGTAACCATTCACATCAGCAGCCAGCTCCACCCCAGACCTGCTGGGGCCACCGCTGCACCAACCACTCGCCCGAAACGAAACGCAATGAACTCCAAAACAGGCCGTTCATCTTCCAGATCGGGGTGATTTACCGATTTGGAGCGGGCCTCTCGCCCTCGAGAGCCACAAGAACATTTCTCCTTCTGCTGAATAAACATTCATAATCTTTAACTTGATGTCCTGATAGGAGGAAAATAGAAATCAAGCTGTCAAAGTTCATTTTTCGAGCATTCTGCGCTTAATCAACCAATGGAGAAAACGGAGTAAGATGACACAGGGGGACAAGCAGAAAAATGTGGAAACGGTGGAAAAATGAATGTATCTGATTGGACGGCAGAGCTCGTAGGGCATTTGAATTCATGCTGGGGAGGAATGGAAGCAGGAGCTATACGGGTTTTCCTGCTGAGTTGCATCAAAAGAGAAAACGGTGGAATATTGTATGTCCCTTTTTCCATTTCTTTCTATGAAGTACAATTGTTTTTAGAAGCTTGATTGCACTTTTGCAATTTTTTTTATTACTCTGATGCAGTTGTAACTGTGTCTTTCTCTGTGCCTAACATAATAAGCCTACATCCACAAGGAGAGTGGGGCAAGGAGACTGACCGGAAGGGTTTGAGGGGCGGGGGGGAGGAAAACACAAGGTGTTTGGGGGTGGCGGGGAGTGTTACATAGGAGAAAACAGGGCTGCAATAGAGATATGCTTTGGGAGAGAGAGGGGCGTGTATTAAAAGATGAGAGAGGTGACCTTTTTTCTCCCTCAAGCTTCAGTGTGGCCATCAGTGAGCAGCCATGTTTGAGAGGGACGCCATTTTCTTGCAGCACTCATTACTGCTTTTTATATTCAGCAGTGTTGGGATTCGCTGGTCACTATTCAGGCCCACAGTCATGTCAGACGTCTGTTAATCATGTGAAGTGTGTCTGTCTGTGTCAGGTTTGAGTGGGGGGGGAGGGGGGAAAGGCGCTCCGAAGGCGGAATGAGGGTGGGGGCGCTCAGATTAAACAGACAGACTTCTGTCTGACCGCAGCTGAAGTTCATAACTGCGGCGACAGTCGACGACGGAAATCGCTTCGTTTGTGGCGTGTGTGTTGTCGAGCGTGATCGCCTCTAACATCATCCCATCTGTGCCGTCACTCATGCCCATCTTCTTTCGGGCCTGCTGGGTGGACCAAATTTCTGTAACCTTCAGTCAGAGTCTGTAAGCGTGACCGAACGGCATGCTAACACGCGTGCGGTTTCCGGTGGTGTTTCTTGCGTCTGTGAAAGACAGAGGCGCTGTTTTACTGGGCATGTGCACGGTGTCAGACTGTGCTCCGAGTACAATACATGGTGACGGAACAACCCACAAGACACACACACACACAAAACACCAAGACCCTCATTTCTCCCCCCACCCCCTCCTCCTGCCCTTCTCCCAACACAACCTCCTCCCTCTTTACACCCCTTCACCAGGACATCTGCTCCACAAGCGTGGCTGCCATTGTGGCACTCCACACTAACAGGGGTTTTAGCCACTGGTGGTGTGAAATTAAACAGCCACCTCGTCCCTTGATGATAAGTGGCGTCCTGTCTTCATGCTGCGGCTATCTCCTGTCACACAGCACAAGGTCATGCTTTCAAGGGTGATCATGGGAATTAGAGTTCACCATTGTAAAAAAAAAAAAAATCTGGAGGAGTTGAACATGAGGGACGAACGGTTGTGGAAACTATCTTGTAAGGACAGATTCAGTCTGGATTTTTTTTGTGAGTGAACCTCACCTGATAATGTGCTGTTCAATCAACAGGGATTTTTGCCTTGATTCAGCTCTTTATCCAGCATCTGTGTCCATTCTATGCTCCGTTTTAATTAAAGTAAACACACGCAGGGCTTTCTGATACTCCAAGCTAATTCTTTTTTTTTTTTTTTTTTCATATTCTATTTGATTCACAGGTACAAGGTAATTACACATTACTCATTCATAGAGAAGTACACTAAAAAAACCGAAAGAAAGTTATAGAAGTAATGAAAAGGCTCTTTTCCCTGCCCTGGCAAATTATCTTTTTGAAATTAATACTTAATATTTCAGTATTGTTATATATTTTTAATTCACTCTGCATTTTTGCAATCATAATGTATCTTTCCACATTCATTGTGGTGCTCAGCCTTGATGAGTACTTCAAATGTGAATTAAGGCACTCCATTTTAAAAGGAAAACGAGTAATAATTCAGAGATATTAATAAAACATCATAATGTTATTCAGGAAAATTGAAAGTAGAAAAACAGGAGAGAAAAGGACGGAAACATTAACTCGTTGAGTGTTTAGGGATGTTTCACGGTTGCGTGTCTGGAATACGATGTGCGCAGAAGGGGGGCAGGGGGTCACCGGAGTGCAGGTTGTTGTCTCAGTGGTCCGACGGAGACCAGGAGGTCAAGGAGAACACATGATAGTGTTACTTACTTTTACCAAACCATTCATTAACACGGATGCAGCGTATATAATCCTTATTTTCTGACTTGGTACACGATGCAGACAGACAGAGGTGTGCAGCAGAATGGAGGGGAAGGACTAAAGCTTACTCTTGTCTCTCGTTGACTTATAACTTGGGTTGTGCTCTTTTCACTCCCCTAACTTAGTCTCTCTTAATTTAAGATTGTTAACTGGTGAAAATGAAATTTCATTTTTCTTACTGGGGCTTTAAAAAAAATAACAGAAGGAAGTTTTTATGATTATGATGGCGTTAAAATGATCGAGATGTGCTGGTAATGCCACTGGAGTAATTTTCCAGCTCTACTAAAGCTCCAATGTCAGTGACAGAATGGTTCGGCCTGGCCCGGGGTCATTTTATTTCTCTTTGCATGTGGAGTAAAATATGCGTCCTGTGGTTGAGAATTTGGTATCTTGGTTCAGCACAGACTTCAGTGCAGCTAAACGCAGCACAGGTTGTGTCACCTGTACGGCCATTAGTGAGTAATATTTGCATACGAGTTGTGTTCACTCAGTAAATCTGCCTTTGTTTCAGCGCTTGTGATTTTTAACTCTTCCGTTTGGGACGCGGCGCACTTTCATATCAGTTATGTTTCTGGATAGTTGTGTTAGTCTGCTGCTCCCGCTGCAGCGAAGGGCCAGTGCTGATGGTGCTGACAGAGTCTTGAGGGTCCACTCTGCAGTCATGACTTCTGCCTGGACGTTTAATCCCACGGGGCCACGCTGCAGCAGTCTGTTGACCAGCGGGGCATGTTGAGCTTAAGCAGGCACTTTAAGCCTAAAGGTTATGCTAATATGCATTTGTCCATTCATATTTTGTTGTAAAAAGTAGGTTAAATGAACGAACACAGCCATTATTTTATAAATACTTTTTTTTCCCCCCATTTTTCTAAATCACTAAATACAAATCAATAACAAAAGGAAGTCGATGTTAAAAACACAGACTGATATTCTGTCTTTTTAGTGTTTTTAGTTATCCTCTTTAGTACACACAGATGTATCATAAGCTCATGTTTTTATTCAACTGCAGGAGGCCTAAATGTAAAATTTTGGAGATTTAGTTCTGTCTTTTTTTATTTTATTTGTGTGTGTGTGTGTGGAGTGGATTCATTTTGCACAAAATATGGCAGCGTGATTTGGGATTGCTTGGAGCCAGCAGTGATGTCATTAGGCAGCAACTTGAATGATAAGGCAATCCCAGGCACTGAATAAATAAATAAATTAAAATGATTTCTTATGTATTCTTTTCACCTCCCTGCATGACCCTCCTCTCCCGAATCCTAACCCCCTCATCCCTACCCCCAACTGCCCACCTCCCCTAAGTACACATATCACAAATACAACCCTTATGTAGTCGTCACCGCTGCTCCCTTCCCCCCTGCGTGTCCACAGGCATATCAGGAGGGTGGGGGGGGAACCCGAATGAATGCAGGTTTTTAATAAATAATGCATTCTACTAATATGCATTCAGGTGGAGACAGTCTTCGGCCCATCTCGCGCACATCCGCAAAGAGGAAAAATATAGAATCCAAGAAGGGAAAGCTTTCCTCCTGAACTGAAATCGTTGACGGCTCGATAATAGGCTAAAACAACGAGCACGAGAGTGAAAGAGTCAGAGAGGGAGAGAATGATGAGAGAGAGGGAACCGGGAAAGAAGAGGTGAAGGGGGGGTAAGAGAGAGGGAGAGAGTGGCAAGCATATTATAACTCATCCATGTGGATCACCCTAGTAGATTGGGAGCAATCCCTTGTTGAAATTGTCTTCTAAACACTTAGAGAGAAGGAGACAGAACGGAGCGGCCAGCCCATCTCAGTGTGCCTGTGTGTGTGCTCTCACACTGCCTGCTATCCCAGCCAAGGTAGAGAGACCTTTGACAAACTGCCTGCATGTGTGTGCGTGCGTGTGTGTGTATGTGTGTTTCACCTTGCTCCAGTGTGTGTTGCCTATCTTGTCAGGCAAGTGTGTGAGTACGTACGTGTGTGTGTGTGTATGTGTTTGAGCAAGAGGGAGAGAGAAGATGCATCTGAGTGTGTGTGTGTGTGTGGTGGAGGAGGTGGTGGGTATTATGCACCCTGGATGTTGCCTCGTGCTTTAAACAGTTGCCTACAAGCCCAGGTAGTGTGTGCCGGCTTCTAAATAAGCAGCACATTCACCGTCCCCTTCAGGACGGGAGGCAAGGCTGCAGAGTGTGAAATCAGACTAATACAGTGGCGTAGGACTGAGCAGGAGCAGGAAGAAGCTCCCGCATGACTTACTCAGACTAGAGGGGTAGAGAGAGAGAGAGAGAGAGAGAGAGAGAGAGAGAGGACAAGAACCAGCAGAAGATAAAGAGGGGATTGGACATCAGAGATAAAAGGGAAAAAACAGAAAGGTCAGTATTTTTTTATTTTAATTGATTTTATTTAGTTATTTCTGCTCTGTGGATGCTTCCTTTAAGTCTTCCCCACTTTCAGTGGAGTTAGTGTGGAGCTGGGACTGAGCCTGTGACTGTTCTGATTTGCTGGAGAAAGTATTGATTGTAAGTTTGTGGGAAGTGTGGTTATTTGATCCTTCCAGGTGAGAACAGACAGTGGAGGTGGGGTGGGGCGAGTATAGAGTGGCCTAACTTTTTTTTATTTAGTATGTGTATATGTAAGAGTGTGGAGTATATGTTTTCTTGTTTGCATAACTCTGTATGTGTCTAGATTTAGTTTTACTGTACAGGGTGTGCACCGGTAGTCTGTGTACTTTGCTTTCTTTTTTGAAATTCTCTGAATTTATGGAAACAGCTAAGGTAGGCGTGCATGTACATGTGGAAGTGCAGAGATTGTGAAGTCTAGGGGTGAACGAGACGATACTCCACAGAATCAAATGGGTCATGATGGGGCGGAAAAAGAGGACTTTTCATCTCCAGTTTGTGTGTGTGACGTAAAGAAGACAGACAGACGGCGTAAAGCTCGAAACGCAGCGACCAGTCAGTATGTCATGCGGTGACGTGTTATCCAATCGCAGCCTGCGTGCACGTATACAAAAAGACCATGTGACCATGGCGCGCTCGCTCACACAAGATGGTGTCCACAGCTATTGTACGGAAAATTTTGTTCACAGTATAATTCAGAAAGTTTTTTTTCTTCATCAATTCATTTTAAATGTTTCATCATCACACTTCTTACATCTTAAACATTTTGTCATGGAGTTAAAATTCTAATTAACATTGCATTCAAAGCAATAGCAGTGACTTTTTTTTTTTTTTCTTCCAAAAAGTATATTTTTAAGCAGGAAGGAAAAAAATAAAAAATAAAAACTGTCAACGTACAGATGTGTTCAACCACACACACAGGCACAGGAAAAGTGAAAAAGCCCGGACTACCAAATTGTCAGCAATACTAAAGACATCAACACAAAAATTTCAGCCATCCATCACAGCTGTCGGCCTTTTTCTGTGGCGACAGTGATTTATTCCAGGGCTGAAATTATTTGGAGTCTCTTGCTCCCTAACTCACTGGCTCTCTCGCTTACATTCACTGACGCACACGCACACACACACACACACACATCTACCATGCAGCTCCACTCCTCCAGTCTTAATAGGTGTTGGATTTGTCCTGTTGTAAATTTCTGAAGTAGAGGTGTGATGTATGTGGAATTATATATGTCCTCTTAAAAAGCTGACCGTACTATATCTTCTTGGGTATGTTGTGTACTGGATGCTAACAATGTTTATTTCATCTCATCAGTGTGTTTAACAACAGATACTCACAATGTTTCTTTAAAAGACGGTTTAATCAAATCTCTAATCCACAACAGCCTGCAGAATACATTTAAATTTAATCTATCTTAATTTTTTATTTTATTTTTATATTTTAAGAACTAGCATTTCAAATGACACATTGCAAACTTTATTAGATTTCACTTTTCTTCATACAGATGAAAAAAAGATTGGGTATTAAATTTCTTGTTTTAAATATTGAAATTAAACTTTGTATACATTTCCTACAAAATCCCCACCCAAAAGAGTAGACTTACCCACCAACTGAGACGAGAGATAAAAAGTGTTCAACTGTATTTTTTCACTTCAGTTACAGCAGATTTGATTAAAAATCAGTCATGTTTAAAAGGTGTCAGTGTTTCCCTTTTTTTTTTTTTTTTGCAGCACTGTAATGATGTAAATAAAAATAAAATCTGTCACACAGTGGTGACCCAAATTCTAAACACGCCTATAAATTCCACACAGCAAGTGGCAGGCGTTTCTCTAAGACTATTTTTGACATGTGTGTTAGCCATGCATCTAGCAGAATAAATGCGGAGACATTAATTAAAACTGATATGCAGTGAGTATTCTTTCACATACTGATGCTTGTTTGTTTGTGGAAATTATGAGCAAAACAGCTGCCCACAGCAGTGCTAGTTTGACCCCCCCCCCCCCTTTATTTTTAATACCACTGTCATTTCATTTCCTTTCTTTTCTGCACGGCCTCTCTGGTATTCTTTTCAGATGTCGGATGATAAATCAGGTCTTTTGTGCGAGAGCATTTATAAGTCAGTCCAATGCCCCTAATAACCCTGCTCTTCCAACAAGCGCACACACTCCTCTAAGCTTGTGCTCTACCTCTAAGCCTTAGCGCAAGCCCTATGGCTGCGTCTTAAGATTGGCGTGTGCATGTCTTTTCTGCAAGTGGGTACATGCACATGGAGTCACGTGGCATTGCGCTCACTGCTGTTGTTTTTTGGTGGACGGGTGCTTTGTTTGATTTGCTTAAACATGCCAGTTTTGCACATGCACGGTCAGGAGCCATCAGCTCTTGATATTTTCGTCTTCATTGCTGATCCGAGGTGGTCTGTGTGGTTATGGAGTTGAGCAGAGCAGCAGAGATTGCTTGGTTATGTGTCAGCTCTGCTCTGGCCTTTTATATATCTGGAGAAATGATGTTTGTGCTGGCATTGAAATCGGCCAAGGGGGTCACTCGGGCTCAGTCAGAGACAAAACTCAGAGCGTGCCTTATGTTAACAGAATCCAGCGCGCATTGAAAATGAAACATCTGGTTGTCTTGTTGAGCAAAAAAAAAAAAAAAAAAAAAAAAAAAAAAAATGGGGGGGGGGGGGGGGGGGGAAAAAAAAAAA